AGTCACATACAAATGGTTCAAATGTTGAATTATTAATCTTTTCTTGTTTATGATTGTTACTTGCTTTGCTTTTAATAATTTATGAATTTTGTTGTTACTGTAAAAAAGAACATTTGCTAAATTCCAAGATAGCTTAGTCCAAGCATGTGATAGCTAGGTACTGTAAACGAATATGCAGCAAGGTCCTACTCATAGAAATAAATGCCTGAGTTCACATTCACCTTAGTTTCCTGGAAATTTAGAGATATTTAGGAATAGAATTTTCACGTTGACTGTTCTACGGTGGGTTCCTGGCGGCTGTGATTCAATTCTAGACGATGTAAAGGAACTGAAAAAGGGAAAATTCCAATTTTGCTGCGAAATGAAGCATGCTTACATTGACGTGAATGAACTCAGGAAAAGCAGATTGTTTACAAAGTATACTGTGCTAAGCTAGATTAGAAAAATTCAGCTTTCCCGAACACTCAACTTTAGGGAGCAGCCTATGACTATGTACAACATTGTTCACAAAGCTGCTTTATTATCTTCTATATAGTACTAGATTAGAATTGCTCGTCTTAGTACTAGACAAATAGATTTTGTAGCTTCAAAAACAAATCACACAAAATAAACAAAACACAGAGTCCAGATAACATTTTCCTGATCAGAACTTGAATTGCATTTTTCAGTTGGTTTGGAGAATTCTTCCATGGCTTTCTTCCTCCATAACTGCAACATCAAAACACGCCGACATTTGAATCATCAATAACAGCTATACAAAGGGCCAAAAAAAAAAGAAGATTGCAGATGACATGTTGTACTCCATGGTAATGAAAAAAACTAGTCTACTTATTACCTTCTTCAGCATTTGTAGAGACAGGAATATTAGTTAAGGAGTAGGAAGCTGAATGTGAGATATTGTCATTAGATTGGGCAGGCTTCTTGAAGGAAATGAAACTAAGAAAGGAGAGATTGAGTGCAGAGTGCAGAAGCAACACAGTTTTCATTATGTAAAATACTTAAATATACAGATAAGGGTAGTTACAAAACTACCTCAACAGTTATCCAATACAAACAAACTTAAACAAACTGCTATAAACTTAAAAACACTTAAAACAAACTACAACAAACTAATTCAAATTGCAAACAAACTAAATTAAATTCAAATAACAAATAAATAGACTTAACCGGACAACAACATAGCAGCTTTGGTGTCATGCTTATCTGGAACAGTTCCAACAACCTCCTCCTTGCAACAAAGCTGCAAATGCCGAGCTGCTCTCTAAATTCTTCAAACCTTTTCTTTGGCAAAGGTTTGGTGAAAAAGTTTGCTAACTGATTTTCTGAGCTGCAATATAGAATCTGCACCTCCTTTTCCTTTTTAGCAAGCCTTAAAACTCCACAAACACAGCAAAAACTTTGAATACTTGCTTCAAGAAATAAACCCAGCACATATATTCCACTGAAATCATCAACAGACAATAAGAAAAGTTTGCTGCCATTTATTGATGAGATCTGCACTAGACCACAAAAAACAGAATGAACAAAATGGAGCTTTTTTGTAGCTCTCCAAGCATTGTTCACTGAAAAAGAAAACTTACTAAAATTTCCCTTTTGACTTACACCACATACACCATCAAATCTCCCATTCCATTTCTCAGATTCATCCACAACAGTAGTTCATGCTTTAATTTCAGTTTGACTCCAATCAACAGAAAAATTTCTATGATTCATACCAGCAGTAAATAATTTTACACCAAGTTTATCAACCACATCAACACATTCATCATGAAAATGCACTGAATAATCATTCTCTAATAGCTGACCAACACTAATCAAATTTTGGCTCAAGTAAGGCACATATAAAACGTCACAAATGTACCGGATACCAGTTGGTGTATTAACAGTAACTGTCCCTTTTCCTTTCACCTCAACAAGTTCTCCATTTCCAAGTCTAACCATTGAAAAATAGGATCTGTCAAGTGTCTTGAAAATTGCCAAATTTGAGGTCATATGATGGGTACACCCACTATCAATGAACCAAGAATTTGAACCCAAAAACATTGATGAACAGCTCTCAACCACAACAACCACAAATAACTCTTCTACCTCCTGATCTACATTTTCAGCAACTTGAACTTTCTCGTATTGTTTTGCCTTAGCTTTGCAAACCTTTTCAACATGGCCAAATTGCTTACATGACCTGCATTTTACACCAGGCCTAAACCAGCAGTAAGTTGTCGTATGAGTCATCTTTCCACAGTGTGGACATGGAGGATAAGGCTCTTTCTTACCTCTACAATTGTTGTTTTGTTGGTCCTTCTGAAAATCTCTCTTCTCCTTTCCACTTTTGTCCAAAAATTGCATCTCTTCATCATATTTGAACTGACCCTTTCCTCTTTCATTTGCAATAAAAGCACCTTCAACGGCACCTTCAACTTCTTGCCTTATTGCTTTCCTTTGTTCTACAGCTTGAAGTGCATTCACAAGTTCGGAAAGTTTCATTTGTGTCATGTCCTTTGAGTCCTCCAGAGAAGAAATTTTATGCTCAAATTTCTCTGGTAAACTCACAAGAACCTTTTCTACAATCCTCTTCTCCGTAAAAGGGGGTGGATCAATGTCGTGCTCAACAGCATCCCAGAGGTCAAATGCTCTCAGAAATGCCATCATTTTAATTGACCAAACTTGATAATTTTGGCCACAAAAAACAGGGACCTTTGCGGCAAAACTGATACTTGCTTCCATGATTTTGCTTGAACTCTCTCAAATATTGGTGCTAAAACCTCACAGACCCTCACAGATCAAAAAAGTTCTGATACCAATTGAAGGAAATGAAACTAAGAAAGGAGAGATTGAGTGCAGAAGCAACACAGTTTTCATTATGTAAAATACTTAAATACACAGATAAGGGTAGTTACAAAACTACCTCAACAGTTATCAAATACAAACAAACTTAAACAAACTGCTATAAACTTAAAAACACTTAAAACAAACTGCAACAAACTAAATTAAATTCAAATAACAAATAAATAGACACAACCGGACAGCAACATAGCAGCTTTGGTGGCATGCTTATCTGGAACAGTTCCAACACTTCTCACTCCAGAGGAAAGAGTTCATGGCTTCTTTCACCTTTCCCACCACATCACTAGGACTTCTTGG